TTCTAAAAGATATATATATATTTTTTTAAAAAAATAGAACGACCTGCTCTGATACCAATTGAAAAATCTAGAAATTCCCTAGATGTTGATTTGTGATTATGTATCAATTTTAAACAGTAAACAACAATCCCAATCAAACAATCAAGACAAAACGACACAACGATTTTACGTGGAAAAATCACAATTGGACACCTCCAATTGTGGTAAAAAAACCACAGGCAACAGCCACAAAACAATCCACTCAGAAGATATAAAGGAATTACACAGGTATACTCTTAATTACCTAGCGAATCCACGCCCGAATTGAACCAACCTCTATGTGTCTCTTCCAACCCCGTCTTCACCTCGGAATTGTCTTGACGATGAGCCACTCCGGAATCCACGGAATCCACCAAAGCTTCAGGCTCGAATTCTTCAGAATCCACCGAAGAACAACTCTCTCTTTTGTGTAGAATAAACAAACAAACCTTTGATGTATGCTTCTTAAACCATGAGTTGAATACTCAATGAAAGCATCAAAGAAAACTAGCAAAATATCCCTAGATATAAACATTAGAACCCAAAAAGAAGATCTGGAAGAGTAAGTCAAGTTTTGGGAGAAAACCAACTACTTATAAAGATCCAAAGTAATCCTAGTTTTGGAAGAAAACCAATTTCTTATAGAAATTCGGATTTTGAAGCTCGCTCGAGCGAAACTTCTCTCGCTCGAGCGAGAACCTTAACTCACGTGATTTCCACTAGTGCCTTCGCTCGAGCCACGAACCCTTCGCTCGAGCGACCAATGAGCTCTTTCAAGTTTTTGTATAGACGCAATCCTTCGCTCGAGCGAGGATTTCTTCACTCGAGCGAGCAAGGGCGGACATGCAACTTTGAATGTAATTTTGCATTTTGCTTCGGCCGCGAGCTGACCGGGCAGCTCGACCCCTGTCATAAACAGCGAAGTAGCAATCTTGAAAGCATTAACATCATAAACTTCTCTGCAAGGCACAATTCGGGTTGGATTCGTATCTAAAACTCATATCCTCACTGAAATACAAGAGCTAATAAAATTATAACTGAAAAGAGTTTTGTCAAACGAGATTGCCAAGAATAAAAACCTAACAATTTGTATGTGGATATAATAAGAAAGTTACCATTGAAAAGTTTTAATTCCTACTTAATATTGTCCATTTTTTTGCCCCAATGCAAAATTTCACACATGTCACCATGAACATATTGATGTAACATTGTGAACATTGTGCCTGTTTGGTGAAACTTAATTTCAGGTTATTTCAACTTATGACTTAATTTAAGTCATTCTGATCTGTTTGGCACAGCTTAAAGCACCAAATTATAACTTAAAAAAAGTCATTTTCAGCCAATTTGGAGAAGTTGCTCCGGAGGTGCTTCAGATTTTCGCTTAAACGCGCAGCTGTTTGGAGGGGCATGAAATGACTTAAATGCCCCTCTAAAACTTCAACAATTATGGTTATGCCACTATATAAGCCCTCTTTCGTCGTGCCCTAGCCCATTTCTCTCCTCACACTCATCTTCTCATTTCCTTGGCGACGAAAGACGATCCTCCACATCTCTCCAAGGTCAGCCGATCGAAGTCAAAGATTTCTTCAAGATTTCTCCAAGATCTGCACTACAAAAGGTAAGAGTTCATGCCTTTTGTTTGTGATATATATATATACACACACACACACACACACATTTGAGCTAGGGTTTATAGACAGATCACACTCTCTCTTCTTCCTTTGATTCACCCTTTGGTTTCGAGTTGAAGGCGGCCTCTCCGTCTGAATTTTCCTCTTCCATCTTGCCCTTGGTTTTGCCTTCTCCCTTATCTGTCATCTCTCTCTCTCTCAGAAATGTATGCTCTGTTTACTTTATCTGAAGATATATGGCTAAATATATAGATGTGGAACTTCTTCTTATTTCCCCCCTTCTTTTCTCTGAAGATTGTGTGTGTCTGTATGTGAAATGTGAACTGAAGTTCAAGAATGTTATTTATATATTGATTTTATTTTTCTGTCATTTAGTTTATTTTCGTGAATAACATTTTAATGTGAATTGAACTTTTATTTACTCTGAAATTAATGTTAATTTTCGTAAATTAATGTTATTTTTCTCTGAAATTATTCTCTGTTGTTCCAATTTAAATAACAAATTTGTGTTATCTTCTTTTGATACAGTGTTTGGCTTTTGATACAATTTTTTTCTGTCTTTGATTGGCTTTTGATAAATTAGTGTTTGATGAAGATAACTGATAATTTTTATCTTCATCAGTTAAATTAGTTTGTGAAGTTTTAGAAAATGCCCAGACATGGGATAAAATATCAAGAGCTCTTTGGTTTATTTTGGTCATGTAATTCAATTTGGATCTATAATTCCCATATGTCATTGTTTACCATTCTCTTATTTATGCTTTATCTGTCATAGTTTGTAAATATAGTTGGCTGCTGAGCAGCTCAAAGTTCCTTTTGTAATACTTCTCTATTGTTCGTAAGTTTTTGTCGGTTCTTTCTCTATGAAAAGGCTTTAACTTCTCTTCTTGAAATATCATCCGGAGTCTAATAAGTCCAATTTTTCCTTTTTGTTTAAATAGGCTCTGCATTTCGTTTCCTAGATTGCTCTTCACCTACTCCATTTGTATTTATTAACAAACTTATACTAGTTTAGCTCACTTTTAAGAGTATCTCACTTACAAATTTTCACGGGTAATAATTAGAAACTAACTCTTCAAAATTAAGGGCTTTAACAATAGTGTTGAGGAAAGACTATTTCCAATAAAAGTAAATGACTTTCAGTGATAATTTAATGAACATACATATCCATAACTATGTTTTTTTTTTTTTTTTTTTTTTTTTTAAGGCCAAAGTGTGCAAATATTTTCATTGTATCAATAAGGGTTACTCAATCCAATGCATGAAAACTCTTTCTGTTTACATAGTTGGTCATGGACAATAGTGTTAGTTATGTATAACATCTTTAAGTTCCCAATCAATTTTAGAGGATGTGGATTCAATTCTTTGTAATTACTGCAGAGGCATGTCATCCTCTAGTAACTATACTTCTAGTGCTGAGAGCTTGGATTTGAGGTACGAGGCTTTGAAATGTGAGTGTGGTGTAAGAGCTGCCATAAGGGTAACCGAATCTGAGAAGCCATCAAAAAGAAGACTGTAAGTAATTTGTGAGAAGAGAAATTGCCAATTTTGGAGGTAGTGTACCCCAAAATCTGTAACGATGGTAGAGAGGCAGAGGAACGAGACAAATCTTTATGAAAATCAAAACATCGAGACTGTAGGGCTAAAAGTGAAGAACCAAATGCTTGAGCAATCCGTAATATTTATGAAGCAGCTTGTTGTGGGTTTGCTCACAATTTGTATTGTTCTGTCAATTGCATTACTCTTCAAATGATTGTTGGTGGCTTTTAGATTATGTGTTTTTTTGCTAAGTTGTGTACCCAATGATGAGACGTCTATTGTAGTAATCTTATGTTTTATACTAATCATGCCATGTATGGTTATTTTGTACTAATCTTATGTTTTAATGCAACCAATGATTATTGAGTATGTGTTAAACAAATTTTTTTTTTCTTTCATAGAATGAGTACCCAAGAGGAAACACAATCTGAAAATAGGAAGAATAAGGGAAAATCTTCTCAAGTACCATCTGTTAAGGCTCATTGGAATGCAAAATCAAATGAAATCTTTATTAAGCTTTGTGTTGAGCAAGTGAAGGTCGGACACAGACCTGGTACACACTTAGATAGGGTCGGGTAGGAAAATGTCATAACTATGTTTAAAACTATGACTGGAAAAGCATACCAACGAATACAAATGAAAAACCATTAGGATGTGTTGAAAAAAGATTGGCTTTTGTGGAACAATCTGTTAAGGGGTGAGACAGGCTTAGGCCATAATACATTGACTGGAGCTATATCTGCATCTGATGAGTGGTGGACCAAGAAATTGGAGGTATTTAAATTGCTTAATGTACATATTCTGTTTGTTTTTGTTGTTTAAACACACCAAACTTTGATACTTGTAAATGCTAAATTTTTTCTTTGTAATTGTTGCAGAGGTATCCTGATGCTACTAAATTCCGACGTATGCCGTTGCAATTTAGTGAAGACTTAGACATATTATTCTCATACGCAGTTGCTACAGGAGAATGGGCATACACTCCTAGTTTAGGGGTTATGCCTGACACTGATGACAATGTGGAGGAATTTCATACCCTACATGATGCTGAATATGATGATGATGATTTGGAGGTGGTTCATCCCTCTAAGTTAAATAAAAAACGTTCATCAAACACTGGTGGTTCATCAACCAAAAGCAAGACAAAGAAGAAATTTACTGGTGCAGCTCTAATTAACAAGACACTTGATCGTATAGTCAATGTGGTTGAGTCATCTTCAGCAACTTCAACACAGATCTCATCAAGATATCCTTCAATTGCAGAATGTTTGGCAAAGTTGGAAAACATCCCTGGTGTGTCCCCGGATGATGAGCTGTATGTATGGGCCGCCCGATTGTTCTTACGCGACAAGCGTCGTGAGTGCTTCATGACTCTTCCTACGGATGAAGTTCGGCTTAGGTTTATAAAGTTGGAGATTGAGATGGAGAAGACCACCACATGTTATCGTGGCTAATTGTGGATTGCCCAGTTGTTCTTAAGACTTTTATTATTAATTGTGGACTGTTCTATTGGACTTTTTATTTTAGTAATTGTGGACTGTTGTAATATTTTCCTAATTTTTCCTTTTATTAATATTGACTATATTTTTGAATTTTAATTGTGGACTCACTATTTCGAATTTTATTAATATTATGTTGGACTTTGTTAGTTAAATGGTTGAATGGTTGGTGGGTAGGTGACATTTTTTCAGTTGAATGGTAGGTGAATGGTTGACTTGTTGATTGTTAGTTGAATATGAATGGTAGGTGAATATGAATGGTAGGTGAATGGTGAAGATTATATATATGTATATGTAGGTGAATGGTTTACTCAATTCATTTTTGTGCTTTACATTTTTTTTCCTTTACATTTGAATCTCTCTTGGTATAACTTTGTTGAAGTTTAAGGTATAATTTTCTTGCTTTACATTTTAATCTTTCACCTATTTCATTTTTTTATTTACATATTTCTTTATATGAATGATGGTTTTCTTTAATTGGGATAAATGGATGACAGGTTGCCTTATATTTCAATAGATAGGAACACATCTTTAATACTTCATTCATGAGCTAGAATTGGATATGCATATAACAATGCTGTGTGCTTGAATTGCATTTGTGTTATGCTTGAATTTCATGAATTGAAACAGATAGACTGACAGTTACGAATTGAAACAATTAAATAGGGTCTGAAACTGCTCCAAGTAGTTACACCACTGTGGCATACTGATATGTTTTCTTACTGATTACGTCTCCATGTTGAAATGGCGGGTGCATATGACCCACCCAACTCATGAGAGAGAATAGATATTGAATATGTTTGCCATACTCAACGATTGCAAATGGTTGGTGCATATGACCCACCGAACTCATGAGTGAAACAAAGAGCCGCTCAATGACATTTGGATTTTTTTAGAAAATATATATTCATTTTCCTAACTTATTGAATAGTTTACAATCTGGACCTTTAGTGTTTAAAATAGTTTACAATCTGGATAGTTTAAAATAGAAACAAGGTTGTTCTTAATAGAAACACTATCAAATAACTTTACTTTTATCCCTTAGTAACTTTTATTTGTTCACATTGTTTTGAATCTTCCTGTGCATATAGTGGGTTTGATTTAATAATTTAAATTGCCAATTCTGAATTTATATTAACTCTTTATGTCACCCTATTTTTTTTTTAATTGAATGGTAACTGAACCTTTTAAATGAGTAGGTATTTTAAAGATGAGTAACAGTGATGAAGACCAATGGAATGATGACCATGATGATGAAGCTACTGACGATGAAGGCAGCAAACCCAACAAAATAATAATATGCTCTTAGCTACGGCGGCTACAGTTGCAGCGACATATGTAACAAATTATTTGATAAAAAAACCATGTAGGACATCTTGTTTAACAGGAGGGATGTGGATGGTAGAATTACAAGAAGGGAATCAGACAAGAATATTTAAAAATTTTCGAATGGAAAGAGAGGTATTTTATCAATTGTGTAATTTGTTACAAACAAATTATGGCCTTCAAACTGGACGACAAGTCTCGGTTCAAGAGCAAGTTGCAATATTTTTGTTTATTGTTGGCGGTGACATTCGAAACAGAAATGTCCAAGAAAGATTTCAACATTCCGGTGAGACTATTTCAAAATATTTCAAGAAGGTGTTAAAGGCTATTATAATGATGTCCATTGATTGGGTAAGACCTCAACCAACTAATGGTGTGCATCCATATATCCGACGCAACCGCAAATATTATCCTCATTTCAAGGTAAATAATTAACTACAAGCGCAACTTGGGTGTTACATATAATTAATGTTGGTAGGATATTTCTACTAATCTGTGGCTAATTTTTTTTTTTTTTTTTTCATTATTATGTAATAGGATTGTATTGGAGCAATTGACGAAACATACATCAAAGCATATATATCTCCAGATAAGCAAGCTTGTCTAATAGGTAGAAAGGGATATGCGACTCAAAACATAATGGCCGCATGTGACTTTGATATGTGTTTCACATTTTGCTTACCAGGATGGGAAGGAAGTGCACACGATACTCAGATCTTCTTAGATGCAATTAGGAATCCTAGTTTTAATTTTCCAAAACCACAAGGAAGTAACTGTTTTATATTTGATTGCTACAATAGATGCACCACACTCACATCTTCATATTTATTTTTATATTTATAATTGGTTACTTAAATTTCATTTTGGAATTTTAAAATAGATGAGTTTTACTTGGTGGATGCTGGTTATCCAAACATGAAAGGATATCTTACACCTTACAAATGAGAGAGATACCATCTAGCTCAATTTGAACATGGTCAACCCCCCCAAAATGCACAAGAAAAATTCAACCAAGCACATTCATCACTTAGAAGTGTAATAGAAAGAACGTTCGGGGTTTGGAAAGCAAGATGGCCGATGATAAAGGATATCCCACCTAGCTACAAGTGGCCGACCCAAGTCAAACTTGTTTGTGCAACAATGGCAATTCATAATTTCATCCGACGAAGTAAGCTCTGCGATATTGCATTTGACTCTTATGATAGATTCACGGATTATGTGCCTAATGAAGAGGAAGGATCTTCGTCTCAACAAGCGCGCCATGGAAATGATGTTGCATGTGATGTCAACGAGATGGAAGTGAGGAGACATAATATTTGTATGTCAATTTGCAGACGAAATTAGAAGCTCTATAAATATCTATGAAGTTTTATTTTTCTTGCCTTAATAGTAATTTATTGTATTTTTATTGCAATGACATTTTTTGTTTTCTTGTCAACTCAATATTATTACAAAAAAATTAAATAAAAAAAAATAAAAATTTGAGGTAATGAAATGTACCAAACTAGGTACTAATTAATCAACTTTCATTAATGAAATAACTTTTTCAAAATTTAAAGAGAAGAAAATTACAAAAATTACAAATTTCCTGTTCATAAGGGCAAAATTGACATTTACACAGGAAAAAGCTATTTTACAGCTTATTTACCAAACACTACTCTGCTGCTTAAATCTATAATCCCACAGCTACACCAAACAGGTTAGCAGCTTATACTCACAGCTATAAGCTATAATCTGTTAAGCTATAATTTATAATCACTTTCCCACAGCTCTACCAAACAGGGTCATTAACATTTGTATATGGATATAACATAAAGATTACAATTGAAAAGTATTCATTTCTACTTAATATTGCCCAATTTTTTTGCCCCAATGCGAACTTTCACACATGTCACCATGATCATGGTGTTTTTATCTATATTCTAGAATTCATGTGAAAATTCACATTCGTATATTTTATATGAATATTCACATCATGCAGTTGACAATACAATAATAAAAATTCATTTTCAAATTAATGTGAATATAATGACAGTCAACATCCTGATGCATGAGAACTATCAAAACATAACGACAATCAGCATTAAGGCCAAGTTTGGCATCTACTAAATAATACAAAAAGTCAAAAAGTCACTATCTTATTTAAGTCACATCATCTTATTTAAATCACATCACTTCTCTAACACATCACATCAAACCCAACCCATACCCAAACCCAACCCATATAAGTCAATAAGTCAAAAAGTGTATTTTTTTAGAACATCCCAAACCAACCGAAATATCAACATTAATGGGGGCAGGAAAAATTAAGGGTGTTTTGGTCTTCGTACCTTAAATAGGACCTAATAAAATAGTCAAAAAAAATTATAAATTATATGGAATAAAACTCTTGGAAAAGAAATTTATCAAAAAAAAAAAAAAGCTCCTCTTTTTTTTTCTTCCTACTGAACCTCCTTATATATTGAAAAAATAAATAAATAGAAAGTGGAGAGTGACTCTTGCTTTTTTCCTTTCTATTCTTTCCTTTTCTTTATAAAAATATTATATTATATTATATTTTATTATTTTATTTTTAATATATTATAAAAATATTGTAAAATTATATTTAAAATGTATTATTTGTAATAATTTATGTAAAAAAAAAATCAAAATACATAAAATCACATAAAATTATAAATAATACAAATTAATAAACTAATAAAATATATGTTAGCGAGTTAAATGTGTAACATTATGGCTCCGATCAGGTAATTGGATTTCTACCCTCTACAATACCATTCTATAAAATTCATGAATGTTCTAACGCTCCATCTATTTTGATAAAAAATATTTTTTTTAAAAATAATTTTATAAAATTATTTCTTTATATTTAGTTGTAACTTTAAAAATAATGTGTTACCAATGGTGTTACTGTGGTGGTTGTGACGACAACGATAATGGGGTGGTGAAGTCGGGGCTTTGTTTTGTGACCACACTACCAACTTGAAATATTTCAAATATGTCAATTTTGGTAACACTTCATATGTTTGTCATTTAAAAAAATAGATTTTATTAATTACAAAAGAATGTTTTACATTTTGTTTTCTGACTAATTTTTTTATTAGTTATAAAAAAAAATTATAATTACCACCCCCATCTTGCTCCATCTCTGTCCTTGGTGGTATGGAAAACGAAGGACCCATTTGGTTTGAATTTTAAAAAGATTTTTGAGAGCTAAAAATTAAAAACTCATTTATTTATCTTTATTTTTAAATTTATCTCTATTTCTAAAATTATTCAATTAAGTGATGTCTACAACTAATTATTATTTTTTAAGTGATGTCTATAACTAATTTCAAATTAAAAATTTATTATTATTTTTAAGTGATGTCTATATGTTATTTTTTAACTAATTTCTTATATTTAGCGTTATGTAATTTTTAACCTTATGTTGGTAATTGGTATACTGTGAATATGAAATTCTCAAAAGATATGATAATTATTCAAATGAAAGGCCTATTTTGAGAATAAGATTAAAAGTCAACTTATTAATTTTTTAAATTTTTTGAGTCATATTAACTCTTTAATTTTTGACATATTTTTTTTAAAAAAAATTAAAAAATTAGTTTTTAATTAATTTCGGAAAATAGGCCAAAGGCTGCCAATTCAACACAATGACAGTGGCCCGCCATGTCTATAACTTAAGCCGAACGTTTAGAAGAGGCAGGTTAGATGCTCTGACGTTTGGCCATTCAACCCCCATCCTTCCTTTCTCCTCGGGCAGTCCCTTACTTCGCCTCATCTCTATCTCCGAAAACCTCCATTTTCGGTAGGCCCCACCCTTCCTCTTTCTTTCCCTCCAGCAGCCGCTCACTGCTCTACCCCTCCCTCCCTCTCTTCCTCCTTTTTTCTTTTTTCTTCTCCAATAAGTATACAATACCTACACCTATAGATATAGAAAAAGTAGAATCAAGAAAGAGAAAGAGAGTTCAAACAGTTGATTTTTGAGAAAATTAGAAGATAACCCATCAAAGAATTTAGACATAAACATAGAATTTATTCACTGTCACATATGTGGTAATAAGAGCTACAAATCTTGTTTAAAATAAAAAGAAAAACAATAAAATTGAGAGAGAGGACTAAAGGCAAGCAAAATAATATTGAGGACAAATTGGGCAATTGTTGAAAGAGGCACTTCGAAGATTGAATTTGCTATATTTTTCTTTAGGAATGTTTCTGAATTTAAGGTGGAGGGAGGGAGAGCTTTGCTGGGATTTTTTTGTATTTTTCGTTTGAAATTGGAAGGGTGGAGCAGGTGGCACCAGTGGAAGTGGAAGGGAAGATGAGGGGTAGAGGAATGGTAAGTTTGTAATTTTAGAGATTTATTAGGGCGTTTTGGTCTTAAAAAAATGTCGTACTCATACTAACTCTTAACAAATGCGCGTGCATTACACATGTGGTTACTTTTGACAAAAATTATAACTATGCATTTTAGTTCATGAAATACATGAAAGTTAAGGGTGTCTTTGGTAACGTTTACGTTTTCAATTTATATTTATAAAAATTTTATAAATTGATTTTTGCTTATTTTTAGAAAAACATAAACTACAAATGCATTTGGTGATTGACAAAATGTTTAAAAAAATTTAAAAATATAAAAAAGAGTGAGAAATGACAAGTGGTGGCAAATGGCGGCTGAAGACGGTGGTGGAAAGTGGTGACGGTGGGTAGTGGGTGGTGGTGGGTGGGTAGGTGACGGTGGTGGGTGGTAGGTGGTAGCGAATGGGTGGTGGTGGGTGGGTGGGTGGGTGACAGTGGTGGGTAGTGGTGATGGTGGGTGGTGGTGGCAGGTGGGTGGCAGATGGCAGGTGGTGGCGGTGGGGGGGGGGGGGGGGGGGGGGGGGCAGGGGGGGTGCTAGGTCCCGCCGGTGCCTAATCTTGGATAAGCTTTACGTTGTCGAAAAGTCAAAAGAATAGGGGCCTTTGGGTAAAATGTGGGAAAGAAAGGATTTTTTTGTCACGGTGCATTAGAATGGATTCTCACTTTGTTTGTTCATCAGCTTTAATAAAACTCAAGGAGTAAAATTAGCCTAATGACCTGCCTGATATTTGGTATTGGACAAAAATTCCCACAACCTGTCATGTCTTACTTCAACTCTCTTTCACATAGGAAAAACAACGCCCAAATAGTACACATTAATGTGTGTTTGGGAGGGGAAAGATTGGGTAGGTGGCAGGTGGTGGTGGGGGGTGGGTGGTGGTGGCGGAAGACGGTGGTGGAAAATGGTGGCGGATGTGACTAGTGGCGGGTGGTAAAAAAAAAAAACTCAAAACGAAAACACATTTTTTGTGTTTTCATTTTTTGGCCAAATTTATAAACTAAGATTATTGATTTATAAATAAAAAATTTTACCAAATAACTTTTTATTTGAATTTTTAAAATTTTTATAAATATAAACAGAAAATTAAAAATGTAAGTGTTACCAAACAACACCTAAGTGATTATTTTCAGATAATAGTGGGGCAATCCACACAGGCCAAACTACATGAAAGTAAAATGAAGTTCCCCTTTTTTCTTTTTTTCTTTAATGCTTTCCCACGTCCTTTTCCCTTCACTTATATTTTCCATATTTTTCTTTAACTATTTGTGTGAAAATTTGTAATTTGATTATAACATTTTTTATTATATTAATTTATATAAAATTATACATTTTATAGTTAATATTATCAAATTTTATAATAAAATTACTTATTTTTATAATAAAATGCATATGATATATACTGTTAAAAGAGTACACATCATAAAATTTTTCTTTTTTTTTTTTAGTTAGAAAAGTAATTAAAGAAAAGTAACAAGAAATTGACGTGGAGGTAAAAGGAGATTGGAAAGCATAAAGAAAAAATAAAAAATGAGAGAGGAGTCGAAAAGTTGAAACTTGAAAGGACAAACATGAGAGCATGCTTTGGCTCAAATAAAAAATTAAAAAAAGGTTGCACTGTCTCCAATTTTTTTATCCGATTGGACAGTCTAGCCGATTTATTGGGTCAGTTTTTGCACCAAGAATCCTCTAGAGTGAAATTTTTCTAAAGTTTCTTAGAGTACTACATTGTGTGGTTGAGATTTACTGGCAAGTCACATCAGAAAAATTGATGTGACTTGCCAGTAAATCTCAACCACACAATGTAGCACTTTAGGAAACTTTAGGGAAAAATCACTCTAGAGGATCCTTGCTCCAGTTTTTGGAGCTCGCTTCTATATTTCAAATAGTTTATATTTTATATTTCTTCAAATATATTATTATTGTAAAAAATTAAATCAATTAGGTGACGTTTGGTAACACATACGTTTTCAGTTTATATTTATAAAAATTTTAAAAATTCAAATAAAACTTGTTTGGTAAATTTTTTATTTATAAATCAAT